TGCAGGTAAACTAGGTAAGTATGTACGTACGCCCACCCAGAACAAAAAAATCTCTCAACAACGGCACATCCAATATGGTTGACATTCATAGCGTAGATTTCGCCCGTGTAATTCTTTTCTACTTTCTGATATCAAAAAAAAAAATGATAAAGGATGAGATTTCTTTTTTTTTTTCCCGCATTCCGACTGCGGTTCACTATGAAAGATTACGTCTTTGGAGGTGCGGGGTAGAAGGAAACTACTTGGAATAGACTTTGCGAATTTGCACCATTTACCAAAAGCTGATGGCATCGGGTGGCGGGGTATAAAATCTGTGATTCGAATTTCACGGACAAAGTACGTTGAGCTAACCGTTTCTTTTTTTCTATAAATACCGAGCTGTTGCTCCCTTTGAACCCGTCTCGATAGATAGATAGACACACACGAGCTAGTCTTTAGAGTCCCTAACAGTATTTCTTTGGCAAAGACTTCTGATAAAAGGAAATAAACTCCACTATATAAAGAAACCCCCAACCCTTTTCCAACCGCAAACATGACCGCAGCTTCTATCCAAGGCCAAGATTTTCACGCAATAGACCCTCCCGGATTCTTCCTAAAAGATAAGATTGCGGAGGGCACTAAACTTATAGACGAGAATATCGATGTTCTGATCGTAGGCTCGGGACCAATCGGTGCAACTTATGCAAGAAAGCTTGTTGAAAGCGGCCGTAAGGTCTGGATGTTGGAAGTTGGGGCACAGTAAGCTCTTTTGAATTTCCTGTCTATGGATCTAGCAATGCGATGCTATTTCAGAGGGGGGTTTAAAAGTATTTTTAAAATTCGCTAATTTATTGGTATTTTGGTTTACTTCAGGGAACACCGTACTCCGGGAGAGCATAAGAAGAACGCGATTGTTTTTCAAAAGGACGTTAATAGTTTCGTAAAGTAAGTTATTGACTACGGCTAGAAATATCCAAACAAATAGATCCAAAGAACTGATATGACTTCCACATATCAACAGTGTTATTAAAGGCGACCTCAATCTTCTCTCCGTGCCAACCTCCAAGGTCACCAGTAACACCCTAAACCCGGTTTCATACTCAAAGTATTAAATATAACCCAATTCCAAAGCCACCTTACCGAACACACCCCCTTTTCTAACAAAGAATTATCCAGCGCCGCATACATCCAAAACGGACAAAACCCAAACCAAGCCCCACACGTCAACCTCGACAATGCCGCAGCGACCCGTACCGTAGGAGGCATGGCCGCACACTGGACCTGCGCAACACCACGTCCTCATCCAAAACTCGAGCTTCCGGATACATACGATTCAAAAAGATGGGATCAGTTATTCTCAGCCGCAGAGAGGTTAATCGGAACTAGTAGTGATGAATTTGAAGATTCGATACGTCAACAACTCGTCAAACGTACTTTACAAGAAGCATATGCTGACGACGACCGTGAATTTAAGGCTCTGCCGCTGGCGTGTAAGAGATCGGAGCAGAATAAGAGTTTTGTCAAGTGGTCTTCCACGGCTACGGTTTTAGGACAGGAGTTGATTGATATACTTAAGCAGGAGCCGTCGCGGGCTAAGAAGTTTGAGTTGTTGGATGAACATCTTTGTGAAAAGATCTTGCCGGTTAACGATGATCCGAAGCAGGTGTGGGGGGTTAAAGCGCAAGATTTACGAACGGGGACTGATAAGCTTATAAAAGCGAAGCAAGTTGTGATTTGTGCTGGGGCGGTGCTTACGCCGCAGATTCTTTTCAATTCGGGGTTGGATGAATCTCTTCCTGCTTTGGTAAGAGTTTATCAGATCATGTCGGTGCTGATTTACCGTTATAACCTGTAAAACTAACAAAAACTATAGGGCAAATGGCTCACCGAACAAACTATGACGTTCTGTCAGATCGTCTTGAAGAAAAGCTTGATCGAGAAAGTCGACAAGGATCCGTACCATTTGGGGTGGAAGAAGATTGTCGAAGCTCATAGGAAGCAGTTTAAGGCAGATCCCCTCCCATTCCCGTTTGACGATCCAGACCCGCAGGTATGTATTGCTCTTTATCACCCACCTGCTCAAAGAACCCTTCTAGTATAACAGGAAGGGCCACCTTATGTATGTTTATAGGACAAGGAATCAGCAGCTGACTCGTAAAAAGATCACAACCCCAGTGTCGGATAAGTACCCATGGCATACACAGGTAAACCAAACCAAAACATATTTTATCAGCTCGTAAACATGCTAACGGAGCCAAAGATCCATCGTGATGCCTTCTCATACGGCTTAGTTCCGCCAGCCTTCGATCAAAGAGTCATCGTCGACCTACGCTGGTTCGGCCTTGTTAAGCCCGTCGAGAGCAACTGTGTCACATTCGAGCACAAGATAAAGGATATGTACGGCATGCCACAGGTATATAAGGCTTACCATTACTAGCTTTAAGAAGGTCACAGCGACTAATTAATTCCTTTTTTCCGTAGCCGACTTTCAACTACGAGCTTTCAGATGAAGATGCGGAGCAGGCAAATGAGATGATGAATGAGTAAGACTCCTCCACGGATATGGGCTTTGAAGATTTTTCTCTGAGTTCTCATTAATCAATTTATAGTATGACAACCGTCGCTTCTAAACTCGGAGGCTACCTCCCAGGCGCCGAGCCAGTATTCTTACCTCCCGGAGCTGCTCTCCACATCTGCGTAAGTCCCCCCGTTTTCGAAAGCAGTGGTACCACCAAATTTTCCCAAAACTAATAAACTTTTCCGTAATTTTTTAAAAATATATAGGGCACTACAAGAGTCGGTACGAGCAAAACCGATTCAGTGGTAGATGAAAATTGTAAGGTTTGGGATTTCAACAATCTATACCTTGGAGGGTGTAATGTTATTCCGACCCGGATAGCTTGTAATCCGACGTTGACGGCTATTTGTTACGCTCTTGTGGGTGCAGAGGCTATTGATAAAGCGCTGGGTTAGAAAGGAGTTCGTATGTCCATTCTTTGTGATTGGGATTGGGGTAGGGCATTCCACAAAGGGTGTACAGCTGTTGTGAGACTTAACAATATTTCTTCCGACTGAGTTTTGCACTAAGGAGGTGCTGGCTGGCTCTAGAATAAAACAGTTTAGTAAAGATTTGTCTAAATCCTCATAAAGCAAATCCTTTCTTCTAGAACTATTCTACATTGTTCAGTTAACTAAGTAACTGGTGAACGAAGCTCATCTCACGTTCATCACAACACGCCATGTCAGCAACCATAACGAAAATACGTATAGCGACAGAATTACATCACAACCATGACGTAGATCTAGATTAAGGACGTACGTCCCGTCACAAAGATTGATTAACGACTAATATATATATCGCTTTCAAAAAAAGGACACTAAATAACAAGTATAAATACTCCCAGAACGCTGCTTCCTTTCTCCAAGACCTTCCTGTCCAGTAAAGCTACCATCATCTCTTCCAACTACCAGGCCAGATAGTTATCCAATTCCACTTTGCAAGTATCACTTCCACTTTGCATATGTCCGTACCACTTGATAAAAAGCTACAAGAAGCCTCATACACTTCTTCGTACAATCGTGTGGACTAGTTCCCAGCTTGGTACTTTTGCTGCTCTAAGGCATCGTTGCGGCCCTCGTATATACGCGGGGTTATCTCAAGAGACGGTTAGTTCACGCCATCATCCACTAACTAATAGAAAGGTTTGGAAGTAACAAAACTACAGTCTTTTCCAGCTCCCATATCTTCGAAGCAGACTACGCCCCTCTGGTTTTTTTTGATGGGGTTGGAATTGGTTTCCACCCTTTTAAGATCTTTGTTACATATATACAGGTACATTTATCCCTCTCAATGAACATTTACACATCTACATCGATATCCTACTAACATCCATCTCGATCTAATCAGTAACATACCATATCCAGAATAAGGACAGCATACAAAGGGCACCTCCTGCCTTAACACCCTCAAGGATGCCCGCCACACGACTGTGGCTTTGGTTCCTTTATGGAGAGGAGTTGTTTACTGCGGTTCAGGGGAAACCATGAAGAGCAAATATGCAGTCACAAAGCAATTTGTGATATCGCTTCCCTTGAAGATGCCCGCTACACGAATGTGGCTTTGGTTTCTATATGGTGAAGGCATGTTGGCTGCGGTTCCGGGGAATTATGAAGAAGACCTAGATCTAGTTTATGCGGTGGATGAAAAAAAAAGAAAAAGAATTTGTTGGGTGAAATACGGCAGAATTGGGAGGTTGCTCGATTGACTTACTGTGGGGTATTTTGCGAATCCTGCGGGTCGTTTTCGGACGGCGGAGTTTTTTTTTTTGAATAGGGTTGTTGAATTCGAGGATAGCGAGATCCGAATCTAGCTGGGGCGTTGTGGTCCCGCTAGTCAAGGTAGCCCAGGCCGGCTCCATGTGAGTGGGTAGGGGTAGTTTTATGTGGTTAGATGCTATAGAAGAGGCGAACGAGGGGAGGAATACCCTTGGGTGGGTGGGTGGACAGCCGCTGGCGATACTCCCCCGCTTAGCCGGCGTGTATGTTAGTGTTAAGAATGTTCTTTGCTTGAGAATGTGTTTATTGAGGAATTGGGCGTCGAATCTAGGCGCTGAAGGTGGAATATATACAGAGCTCTTATCTTCGATAAATCTGTTTCGTTTAGTAAGATTTGAATATGTAAAATAGCAATGCATGGAGATAGAACATGCTGTGATATTAGGTAGTGAAAACCCCCCATCTTGGTAGAACTGATGATCATCTCCTTTCTCGTGATCAGGGGGCGCTTGATACAATTCTAGAGCAGTATGGAGAAACAGGATCTTGCTATATAAATAAGTAGTAGGTATGTAGTATCAATATCCTACTCTTAAGACCATCCACCAAGAAAATCAGGCGTCGGGGCATCATACAACACGAGAGCTTATCAGCGAAATCTCAAGGCTTCTATGAGTCAGATCCGATTTCAAAGGAAAATCTACTTTATATCCCACATACCCACCCTGTACTTTCAACCAATCACATCTCAGATCGTCCAGTGGTTAAGATACCTGCCTGTCACGCAGGTGACCGGGGTTCGATTCCCCGTCTGAGAGATTCAAATCATCTTTTTTTGTCCTTTCCGGTAGCATTTTTTTTTTTAAGAATGCCTTCTTTTTTTTTTGCTCTCTTTTTGGTGTGTGTCTTGGTTGGGAGTGGTGTTGAAGCTAATTCGAATAGAGGAGAAGGCGGTTACTGGGGTTGGTAGTCGGAGCTCCGTAGTTGTGTTGACAAGATAGAAATACAACGGGATTCTCGTGGTCTTTGGCAATGGGATTCTCGTTGGTTATTTGGGATCGTTTTGGCTGGATAAGTTAACTAGGTATTCGGCGAGAATGTTATTTGCTTCCTAGGTATCAGGAATAGAAGCCCCTAACTAGAATGTATATATACCGAGAACCTTAAAGGCGGTCGATGGAGCGAATTTAAGGCTCAGAGTTCAATACATGCGTAAGTGTTGCGTTGATATGTTTGTCATCCCCAAAACTACCATATCAGGCCGTTTGCCACTTCCATTCTTCCCTATTCTGGCTTCGTTCCCCGCGAAACAACAGGGATCGATCAGGACCTGATAAAACTTTAAATAAACCTTGTGTCCAGCCCTATTTTGTCCTGTTGCCATATTCGGCCTTCTGCTAGCGTTTGCAACATGGGTGTGTCTAAACTCGTGGTTTAGCTTAGGGCTGTTGAGATCATTAGGTGGATTATGTGAAGTTCATTGTTTGCTACGGGTGCGTATGGGTGCTTGTATTCGGGGGGATTATGGATGGATTATAGTTGTTACAAGTTATTGGTGTTGCTTGCATAGGGGCCATTTCAAACTGCTTCACAATTATGAACGTTGATGAGAAGCCGAAGGCTTCATTGGAGACTCCCGTATCTTAGCCTGGATTCTTCTTACTGTACCCTTCCATATCATAACTTTCGAAAGACTCACAAATGCCCCCTTCTTTACGATATTCCAGGACGATCGACGCCGTAACGCTGGTCTTTAGTTAGCAGATATGGTATAGAATAGCATACAGCTCCGTGGGTTGTCTAGTAATGAGAAGAGGTATTAAAGTCACTCTCCCAGGTCTATACTCAAGCCATATTGGAGAAAGGAGCCGGTCATCATCGCAATGATAGTGTGTAAGGGAATTGGAAGTGATCGACACCGATATATACCACATACAGCCCGAACTGGGTTACACTAAAACCTGAAGATCAGTGAAACTCTTATAATTTGGCTATATACATAATATAAATCACGTGCACTGTGGTATATACTCATGGGGGTTATGAACCAATTTGGGAAGATTTCCTGATTTGGGGCGGTGAGGGGGGGTTGTGTAGCTGCTTATTCGTGGGTGTGGCTGATAGGCCAGTACAGGGTTTTTTATGATGTTAGTGTTTTCGGGGATATAGATGTGGGGGGTTAGTTGGAAAAATGTATAGGTATCCCGCAGGATACTTGGTTGGGGGGTGCTAGGAACAAAGGGTCAAGAAGCAAAAGGATCTTTTGCCACCTGTCTGTACGATAGATACCGCAACGCAGCCTGATCCGTTGTATTTTTGCAGGTCTCATCGGGGGTTCTCCGCGCCGAAATATAAGAGTGTGGATCATCAGCCTTGTTCATCCCACAAGTTGCACAAGCAAGGGGGGTTGCCTTGGAATCACGGAGAACCGGTCAAAGGATCGTGCTGTCGAAAAGACCCACAGACTCGCCAAAAACAACCAACCAGGGCAAACTAGACTTTTTCCTTGGCCCTAAGTCTCTCAGGTATCCTGTGGCAGTTAGTCAACCCAACCACAATTCTCGCTACATTTGATAAAACCGCTAAGGATGCATCTCTCAACCTGCTGCATGAAAGAAAAGAAAAAAAAAACTGGAGCTGGGACGCAGAGAGAAGTATCTGACCTCGTGCACGCCATTTATTCCTCTCAAAAGTTCACACTTCCAAAATAGGAAATGTAGACTTTGGATTCACGGCAAGGTATGATTGGACGGGCGAGCTAGGAGTTCTTCAGTTGGTCCACGCATATGCCGTGCATTAGGTACAGCCTAGCGTCGCGTCATCTGGCCAAGGCCCATCTCAAAAATTGGCTGTCGGGCGAGGCTAATAAGCTAATTGATGTAACACGGAAGTGAGCGCGCGCGGAAGAGATCGTATCGAAGAAGATGGCTTGCCGAGTCGGTTCAACTATATAAATACAACAGTCTAGTCCCCTCGATTGACATTTTCTTCTGCATCAGTATCACCGACAATCACTTCAATATCTCTATAATATCTTAGCTTTCCCTGCCTCTAAACCTATTCTGAGCAGTTCCTTGTACCCCGCTCTAGCTTTAGCAAACGCTGGTCTCCCGCCAAGCCTAGCCAGTGACTTCGCACATCCCTAAAACATGTCTAACGTGGTATTTCGGCCATGGTCCCAGGACTCTAGTTACACGAGTTACCTCAAGATTGGAGATATGGAGCAATACAAGGAGTTCATCCTCAGTATGCGGAAAAATGGTAAAATGCAAAAGGAAATTCTGGAAGCCCTCAAAGGGAAGGGTGTCGAATTAACGTAGGTCACATGTCAAGTCAATATTCCCAATTTACCGAAGTCTAGATTGATAGCTCATTAGAATGTTTGTATTTTAGAGACTACAGGCTAAAACGGCTGCTTGACCAATGGGGGGCGTCCAAAAACAACATGACTAAAAAATGCCAGATGGGCATTCGTTTCAAGATTGAAAAACGACGAAGAGAGGATGAGAAAAAGGCTCATAAGGTCGTGATGAAGCGATCGAAGCGGGTACTAACAGAGGAGGAGATAAATGAGATTATGGCCCGTAGCCCCGGATATTTCAAGGGTACAGCACCAATCTCAACCCGTGTCTTATCAGAGGAAACTGCTAACCAGTAAATTGGCTTTTATGAAAGGCGTTAAACCCAACTCTCAAGATACGTTTGTTATTTCGACTCCGACCCCGAAAGGCGGGCGTGTTTTTCCTGAGGATAGCTTTCTCTTTTCAGAGAATGTACAGGGGGGATACGACAAGCTTGGGGACGGCCAGCTTCAGCCTTCTCTGCCGTTCGACGACGCACCCGGGGAGATGGATATCGAAAGGGGCGGGGAGGTTGACAGCTGTGATGCACTGGCTTCGGATGAGATGATGATCGACCCTTATCACGATATTGCAGATGACTCCGATCGACTGCGCTCTAATGGTACTGGGTGTCAGTTAGTCCCCAACAATGTCCCCATCGTTAATTTGCCTATGGAGCAGAGAGAGGGGGGGGCGGGGGCAGGACAAGAAGGTGAAAAGTATACAACTGATCGTCGGGAGGAAGAGATGGAACAGAATCTTACCGATCCTGAAGACGACAATACCGATTCTGATGATGATATTACCGACCCTGAATATGATATTACCGGTGCTGAAGAGGATATCATCGATTATGAAGAAGAAGATGGGCGTGGGCCTGGTAGTGATTCTGGGGAGGAATATCAGGAGGATGATACGACCGACTCTGAAGGGGGGGACTGGGAGGATGATGGGACCGATTTTGAAGACGACATGGAGTTGGTTGACGATGTGTAAGTCGCGATCCCCGCGCACTCGAATTATATAGAACGGCTAGTGCTAATCGTAATTTATCTATAGCGTTGAGTTCTATGTCAACGAGGGCCGCAAACACAAGGACGAGTACGGAAGTGCTACAGCAGGGGGACACCTGATTGCGGAGGCAGAGCCAGAAGGCTCAGTCGAGGAGCTGAAGGAGGTGATATCGAGCGGGCTGAAGGGGGTCCTTCTTCGGGACGCAGGCGCAGAGCCTTCGGAGAGTATCGGTGGGGGTATCAAGGTCCATGCCCGAGGTGAAAGCGGACATGATCGTGGGGCGATGGGGGCGGAGGAAGAGACCGCGCTAGGTAGGTATGCTCGGAAGAGGAGATATCTCTTCTGGGAGCAGGTGAAGCGGTGGAAGAGGGAAGCGAAGAGTTTTCTCGGAGAAGTAACGTGGCTTTCGAAGAAACGAGGGGTTTCTTTGGAGAAGGCGGCAGATATCGTCTCGCGGCAATGGGAGAATACTGGAAATCCGTACGACGAAAGACTCCCTTATCATATCTATGAGCAGATTTTGGGAGAGGAGTACGACGAGGATGAGGATGAAGGGACGCTGTCGGTATTGGCGGGGAATTCAAATGTTGAGGGGGTCGATAACAATTATCTGTGTCAGATCCTGGAAACAAATTTCACGAGGCTGGAAAGGGCAGCGAGACGGCGACCTCCAGAAGATATTGATCGACTGAATTTCGACCGTCGGGTCGTTCATGTACCTTTTATCCTTCGCAAGTTCGGCTCCAACCATTTCTTTGCAGCCAACGCTCTGAACTGGGCGGGAACTATGTCGAAGAGTCTGATCGGCGACTTCGAACTGGGTGACGTCCTGCAGGTCTCTGCGTTGTGCGCTTACAACAGCACCGGCACGGCCACCCTTCAAGACGCATTGGGTTGTGTTTATTCCGTTGATAATTTGGAGGGTGGCCATGGGTTGGCTGTCGCAGCTGACAAGGCTCGCAATGACATGCCAAGAGCTCTGGTTCAGAGGTACGGGCGGGATCACCCCAAGACATTACACTTCTTGTCAAGGCTCGCATATATATATTGGGATGAGGGATTCCAAGCGCGCAGCAAATTGATGGTGTACGGCATTGTAAAAACTATTGAGAGATCCTACCCGATCTACCCGACACATCTAAAAAACTCTATTAAGTCCTGCTGGGGGCAGTTGGGGGACCTGCTGGTGTTGTTGGGGAGATCTGACCTGGCAGCAAGATTCTTGCCCGAGCCATCCTCTTGGGAGGGGAAACCGGGTGTAGCGGAGGCTGCCGTGCCAACAGGGACCTGCACTTACATACTTGGAGATGCCTACGCCAACCTCGGGAAATACACACAATCCCTCCGTGCGCTCCTCTCCTGTTGGAATGGACATTCATCTAAAATGGGTATGGACCATCCCCAGTCATTGCAGCAGATACAGCTGATTACGAAAGTTATGAATCTGCGGGGCCCACAGCTAT